AATGTATCAAGTGTGTATATGCAAAGAAAAGCCAAAACTATGGTTTTTATCATTAAATGAAGATATAGCCTAAAGATGCTTTGCGGCATAACCAGGTTTCATTTGCCCGGGCCCCTGGGCAGTTGCCCTCCCCCTTCCTGTCGGCAAGCCTGAAGCTAAGTGTCAGAAAATAAGTTTAACAAGACTGCAGCTTCAACTCATTTGATTGGTTGCAAGATGTGAGCCAGTTTGCTAGACTCAAATCATTTGGCCTTTTGCAGTGCAGTTTTGTTAGCAGTGGGATTAAAAGTGCTGTGCCTAAGTTGTTGCTTATTGGAGGTAATAATAAAATAAAAATCATGTAAACGTGGTTTTGTTTTTCAACATTCCTCTTAATTTAGCCATGATTAACTCAAATCTATGGCTAATTAGTTTCTAATGCTTTGCCAGCCTTTAGCAAATAAACCATAATCTTACTATAAAGATGATGAATAATATGTATATGCTAGCATCCATCACCCAGAGTTAGCTGGGCTCGATTACCATAATTTTTGATAAGGTAGCTGGAAACTGTCTCTGATAGTGTACAAGGGCTATTTTGTTTTATGATTTTCACCCAAGAAAGGGGAGAATATAAAAAAGCCCCTGAAATTGGGCACATTTCCACTTTATTTAATAGACTTTTGGCTTCCATCACCCAGAGTTGGCTGGCTTGATTACCATAATTTTTTGTGTGATAACTGGAAACCATCCGACAATGTACATAGGCTACTTTATTTTATGATTTTTTCCTAAGATGGGTGAGAAAAAGACCCTAAAATAGAGAACATTTCCATTTTTGTATAGGCTTTGTGCAATGAATTTAAAGACACAAGTTCTTAATCAGTTACATGAGTCAGTTATCTCCCACAAAGCAGGGTATACAGTTAGTATCAGATGAGGTCATTAGGGATTTAATATCAAAAGAGGAGGAAGGGGAACATTATTTAACATTGTGATTTATACAATTTTTCTTCCTTAACTGGTATCTTCAGCTAGTTTTTAGTAATGAAAGATATTTTTTTAATGTAGGGTAATCAACAGTAGTGGAGTATTATGGTCTCCAACAACCAGGAGCTTGTGGCATAGATACACCAGTTTCTGCTCAAAGTGGTGATCTTTTAATTTTTGTGGAAAGGCTAAAATCAAAATAATGTTATCTTTTAATTAAAATGAATCTTGATACTTGAAAGAAAACATGACACAGAATATTTATACATATAAAGAGAATATAATCATGTTTATTAAAAACATTTCATACATAATTACTTATGTTACAGTTAATTTAACAGAATAATAATAATATTATTGCTGGTAACAGTCCAAAACTTTCTGGTTGGGGAAAATATAATTAGTGACCATTTACTACTACTTGTAGAAGTTAAGTTCGAGGCATGATACATTGGTGGGAGCTTTAACTGTTATCTTTCATGTCTCTCCACATGATTGGTGCTGTTGGATGTCTTGAATTTCAAAAGACAGATACTTTACAAGTTAAATCAGTAAGTTTAACCTACTTCTATGGGCATTAGTGGTTTACTCTTTTGTCATTTCATGCCAATTTTACACCCAGTTCTTTACTTTTCACCACTTTCTTATATTGAGAGAACGTGGCTTGTGGAGTCTCTTTGGCCTGCTTATTATAGTAGAGATATAAACATGCTGTAAGTGCTGCAGAGATGGATTCCTAAATAATAGCTGATGTGAAAACTAAAGATTCAACAAAGAACTGAATTTGTTTAGTATGGATTAAGCGTTGCTTACAGTAATTCCATAAGAAAATAACACACATAGTATCACCCCCAGCTTTCCAAGTAATTTTTGACTTTTTTATTTTAACTTCCAATGCCTAAAGACTACATTTGTTTGAAACTCTGTGACAACAAGTTGTGGATTATATTTGCTTTGTATTTTCTTAGGTTAAGATAGGATCTAAGAATTAATCAACTGCAAATAATCACTGAGAAAAGCTTTGGTGTATATTAAATAATGATATTGCTAATAAATAAATTAATACAGAAGGAACACAGGTTAAACTACTTGAAATTAGTAGTGGTATTGAGTTTTAATCTTGGTTTAATTTCAGTGTGTTTAGTTTTAGTGTAAATGGAACTTATTTTTTATGAATGCACGTTAAACTTAAAGAAACAATAAAAAGTTAGTTGAGGATATCTGTTAGTAGTAGAGTTGGGCAGTTAGTGCAATGTTTTAATCAGCTAATTATCATGTTCAGTAAATGATTACATTCAAATAATTGTTAATTCTCACCTGAGACTTGGATAGTGGGAATAATAAAAAAATAGTAATAATTGGAAATGCTAATTTTGATTATTTGATTTATTTTTGACATTAATCAATTTAATGATAATTTCAATCAATCAATTATTTAATGAGACACTAATAGATGTAATAAATACTTATAGGTAATTGATCATATTGATGGAGTTTATCTTGAAGCTGTAATTAGCAGCAACATGTAGTTTGATTAATCAAAATTAAGATTGGAAAAGATTGAGCTGAATATAAAGCATTTTTATTTACTATTATGCTTATTTATATCAATATTTCATTTGATCAACTGTAGGAATATTGCTTATCTAAATAAAAGAACACATCAAAATCACATAAAAGATGAAATATCATATATGTTTTTGTACAGTCTGTTCTAGTATATGTACAACTCTATCTTTTCATTGGTAGTACAAATGAAGAAAGCACAATAGAGGAAAGAAACCTAAACCTTTAAATCAACCAGAACCACTTCTAATTATTTGAAGCTTAATAAAAATGGCATAGCAATTTTATAAATAGCATTACACAGCAGGTAATTGTTGATCAATGTGTAGTATGTTGTGTAACATGTTTCTACACACTTCAACCCATGTTGTTTGGTTCAACACAGCTTCTTTAGCAACTTATACATACATCCATGTAGGTGTGTGTTTTTTGTTTTTGTTTACTTTAGGTATTTTAGAACATAGAGAGGTGGGGGGGAGTTGTAGTAATATTTTTCCTTATTCAAGTTCAGTTGTCAAATATTTAATCTCCAAATGTTTGTATGATTGATTTTTATAGTATTATGTGTATTGAATCTTTAGTTAGTTATATCAGAGTTTAGGTTTTTTTTGGTTCATTTTAAAACTTGAAAAAATTATCATCAATAAAGACAAACTAAATGTGGTATCATATTTGTAAAGATTAAATTGGTAATGAAAAAATATTTTGGTATTGTTTTATCTGAATATATTAAAACTTTTTTTTTTTCAGCTGCTAGTTGATGAACATGAATCTTTCTACAACTGAAGAATTTGAAGATTCTGGATAACTATTCTTGATGGACTTTGCCTTAAATGTTTTTTAATTGTTAGCATTGCTTTACCTACAGGCGTTTAGGCAATGTATAGAAACAAGTTGGTTAAAAAGTGTAACAGTTTTTAGGATAACTTGATTTATAACTGTGTATGTGTGTGTGTTTAATTTAATTACATTTGACATAGAAACAAATTTTTTGCTTATTACTAATAAAAGCTACACTCAAGTGAAAATGGGAAGATACACTGGGAAGAAATGCCGTCTTATTAGCATGTTTGGGCTCACCACAAGTTTTTTCTTTGTGGAAATTATTGTTGGGTATGTAACCAATTCCATGGCACTGGTAGCGGACTCCTTCCACATGCTGTCCGATGTCATAGCTCTGGTTATTGCTTTCCTTTCTGTAAAGGTAAGTCATTTATTTACTAGGAAAGCTTAAAGATAAGTTTTTCTATAAATGGAAATGATAGTGATATATTTTTATTGTAATTATTGTTAACACAAAAATCAATCAACAAAACAAACATGAAAATCCCAATATATACCTGAGTATTGTTGGCTCACAAGAACCATTTTTAACTCTACAAACAAAAAAATTGGGACTGTTATTTCTTTTAAATATCTTATCTGGATGATGTTTGACTCAATGTAAGAAAAGTTCAAATACTAAAGTATTATACTGTTACATTTTCGTAAGTACGAAGCAAATACTTTCTGTAATACATGGCAGAAGATAAGGGTGAAATGCATTATCTATAAATTCATTAGACAAATGTGACTTAAGACTAAAAGAAAGTGGGTTTGGATATAGAGATACAATATATTTTAGGTAACCTCTTGTAACCTTAAACTTTGTCATTCTGTGTTCCATACACAACACAGGGATTGAAATATTACATTCCTAAGGAATTTTAACTTTGCTTGAAGAATTTCATCCTTTTAGTTGGCTTTCCCAATCAGGAATACACGATCCATTCATATTTCTTTAGTTATGACCAATGAGAATGAACATATTGCCAGAATTAAATAAAAATAATAATTCATGAGGAAATGCAACTTTACATGAGGGAAAGTAATCTTCCTGGTAGCTTTCCCTCGAGTGAATGTAATTTTATTTCATTATTTCTATCCCTGCAACATTGCTAACAGTGAGGATGCCCAACTTATGAATCAATGTATGCTAATCATTGTAAGTAAGAATAGTATATTAAAATAGTTATATATTGCCAGATTAATTGTTTAGTTCTGATCAATGTAAGTAGCTTTAATCAGAATTTGGCAATGATTGCTATTAGTTACTTGGTCTTCTAACATGTAGGTCTCTTGTCATGTACAAGTTCTAAAAAATTATTTTTTTTATTTTGGTGATTTAAATTTAAAATATTTGTAAAATATAAAATTTTAAGTAATTTAATACAGCAACTCTTATTTCAGTTTTTGAATACAGTAATTGGATGGTAATATTTCCGATAACATGCAAGAATACGCTTTATAATTTTCTGCTCATTGTTTTATGCACTTTTAGATGCTACTATATCTTATGGAACAATTTTATCACATGTTAATGTTGTAGAGCAGCATAGAAAATTGTTTCATTCTCCACAATAGTTCTAAAGTATTCTAACTAGTTTAGGACTATAAGTTCATGTTTAGTTACAAGTGATTTTTATTTTTCATTTAATGAATATGTATGTATTGTCTACTTTTAAAACTAAAGATACATTGACCTTATACGATTACATAATTGTCTGTACTTAGAGGCAATGATAATTTAGCTATCTAAACTTGTATGACCTTGTATAATATCTACCACACAGGGCCTAAGGGTGGGTGATAGTACACATTTACATTGATAAACTTAGTAAATTACTATACATGTCATATTTCATGTTTAACTCATTAAACATGAAACTCATTATTAATTCTATATTTGTATGCACTTTATAACTGAAGACTAAGGTTGATAGTAGTATGCATCAATATTCTACAATTAGAAAGAAAACATAACTTCAATCTTACAAACAATTCTGATGATAAAATATTAGTTGAATTCCTTTTAGCTGTTTTTTGTTGTTGAGAAACTGGTCAAATGATTTCTATCGCCATCCTATAAAAACCAATGAACATAAAACTCGTAACAGTTTATCATGAATATTGATATCAGTTTAATTAAATACAAATGCACTAAATTATATGCTGTAAGAATATTCATGCGTGTTTTTATCCTTTTGTGTCTAATTAATTGTATTACAAGTGAAGTGCTTCAGAGTTGATGTCCTTGGTGTTTGAACTGGGACATCAGACTTGTTTTAAGCTGTTTGAAAGTGGGTCATCTTCTTTTTCACTTGTTCTAAACCAGGAAGCGAGATCTCAAACTTGCTTAAAGTTTATTCACACAATATGTTACTTTCTATATGTTGGTGTATAAACCAGATATTCTATTAAAAAAATAATATTAAAGTTAAACCTGCATCATTACTAACCTGCTTCTTTGTTTTTTACATATTTTATTGTAATGTATGCTGTTAGTGCAATTAATATAAAATACCCTGAAAAAAAAGCTTTGTAATTCATCAAGACTGTTTTGTTTTTTTTTGTTAGGTACATGTAGATGTAAGAAAATCAAATGTTCATTTGGGTGTGCATGTAACAGTTTTACTATGAAACTGGTATTTGTAAAGTGTTTTTCATGTTTTAGAAATCAGAGTTGAACTGCTCATTATTTCTTACAAGATGTGGTTGTCTGCTTTGACTTCATTTGTTAAATTTATAAATTATTTAAAAATTCTCAAAGTATGTTCAAGTACAACTGTTTACCATCATTCATGGGGGCCTGTGTTTCCTGTTAATTATACATAATAATTTACTTTAAAATGTAATTATGAATATTTGAATAGTTGTTGGAAGACTGAGCTAGGACTGGCTCTTCTGCATCTCCATTGCTTTAAATTTTAATGTAAGCCTATTTGGCTGTGAAGATTTTAAATGAAAACTATGATTTTTTTTATTCTATTTCTTTAACTTAATATAATATTCACAATGTAGTTTTGAATTATGTGAGTACTAAGAAACATTTTAACTACTAATTTATAGATTACATGTTTTAACAGCAGTTCATAAAACTGTGTTAATTTTTGGGGATCACGACATTGATACTATGTATATTAATGTAAGCCTATTTGGCTGTGAAAATTTGAAATGAAAACTATGATTTTTTTTTATTCTATTTCTTCAACTTAATATACTGCTCATGTAGTTTTTAATTGTGAGTACTAAGAAATATTTTGACCACTAATTTAATGATCACATGTTCTAACAGCAGTTCATAAAACTGGATTGATTTTTGGGGATCACAACATTGTTACTGTGTGTATTGCACTAGCCTAAAGTTAATGTATCATACAATACTCCATTTATGTGCACTTTTTTAAGTTTTGAAACAGATCTCTAATATTAGTGCTTGTTTATGAATGAAAAAAGTTGTTCAACATAATTTGTCCTTAGTCATATAGTGCAACTTAACAAGTTACTATTCTGCAACCGTGGATAAGAATTTGTAAAAGAAGTTCTCTACAGAGATGGGCTGTTGCTTGCATAAACATCACAAGCAAACAGGTAATCATGCTCTCACTTCTGACCAGGCAACATTCTATCCATGATCTTAGTCAAGCCAACTTGGGCATGTTTCTGGTATACTTGGTGTCTTACTACTTTGAGTAGGAAGGATGATATAGGTGTAGTTGAACATGATGAAATACTACAGTCTTCATTTGTAGCACCAGTTCTGTTTCTGTACTGGAGTAGTCTAGCTGTTGCTATAGTAGTAGGAGTTTTAAGAAGTTACAGCATGTCTGATAATGTTTTTGGCCTGGTACTTTGATTGAATGTTGTGCTCAAAGTCACAGAACTTACTCATGACATTCAAAAGTATGTGTGATCAGCAGAGAAAAACACCAGAAAAGAAACCCAAGTGCTTTAGGATAGTGTAGTTTTCTTCAATGGGGGTAAATGGTATTTTATGAATGAGAACTTCCAAAAGTGCTAAGACTATTGGATTTTACTTTATGAGTCACAGAACTTATAAATTAATGGACAAAATGTGGCATGTACTCAACAGTACTTGCTCTTAATTTTAACTTTTTTTGTGGTCTTATGCCATTAAAAAACTTGTATGCTGTTAGTTCTCCATGTCTAGATGCAGCTTTATTTTGCTATGTTAGGAATAAAGTGTCAGTACAAAACTCTCACTTCACTGTTTACATCTGACACCGTGGTGGTGGGGCTGACCTCGCATGGCTTCTAAACTATGGTGCAGTTTGTGTATGTGTTAATCTGGCATGAATAGAGATGTTTCACAGAAACTGCCATTTGAGGTCCATCTCCAAATGATGCCCCTATTCAATGTCATTGAAATTTATCACTTTCATTGACAGTAACTGTAATCTTTTAATCCTTGCTTTGCAGTAAAACTCGCTTCTTTATAGTACACAGTAATATTTCTATGTATACCTAATAAAATTTTCCTTTCAGAAAATTATAAATTAATAGAAACATAGTTCTAGAATGATCTTAATATTTCAACCATAAAGTATAAAGTATCTTTCATTGTATTCAAGTTGCAGAATTTTTCAACTTGTAATAGAACACAATTTCCAGAAGTAGCAAGAACAATCTACACTGGAAATTAAAATTATAGATAAAAGTAATTTTTTAATATCCTTGCTATTTATAATATTCAGATGTAAGCCATATTTTTGCACATTATCAAGTAATATAGTAATATAATTTACAGTTGCTATTTAAGTCAAATATGTAAATCTGACATTTCTGGTTTACAAACTGAATATAATGAATAAAGATTTTAATATTATTAGATGCTTTATTTACTTATATGTACATAAAGATGATTGATAATGGATTAGTGAAATTCTTGAAACAGATTTGGTAGTTAGGGGTTTAATTTGAGTCTATATTTGAGTTAATAAATTTTTCCTTCTTCAAATTTATTTGAAATTTTATAGTAGACAAGTAAGACCTTTAAAATCCTGACTCGGTAACAAGACAGATTAAGTGATTGTTTGTGTGTTGTTTTTTTTATACATATATAATTGCAATTTATTTTCATTTATTTTAAGTATTTAATTGACGTACTTAAAAAGTGCCTAAAATGTTTTATAGAAGGTGTGTGTGACAAATTCAAAACTATTATATTAAAAACAAGTTATTTATGAATAATATTTTATATCTGTAATTATAATCTTAAACCTTACTTTAATGAAGTTTGTATATTTGCTCTTTTAGATGTCACCTAAAAAGTGGTCCAAGAACACATTTGGATGGGCAAGAGCAGAAGTTTTAGGGGCACTTGTGAATGCAGTTTTCCTGGTGGCCTTGTGCTTCTCCATTTTAGTTGAGTCCTTGAAACGATTTTATGAACCTGAAGAGATCCATGACCCAGTACTTATTTTATACATTGGTGTTGCAGGGCTGCTTGTCAATATTATTGGATTATTCCTATTTCACCGTGAGTATTTGAAAATGTATGAATTTTTGTGAAAAGCATTAATATGAATACACAAGTTATTATCACATTGACTTAATCACCATTCGTAACACATGATTATAAGTACTTATAATGAAAAATTCAATATTTTAACAGTTGTTTTTATTTGATCTCTTTTGTTGCTTTTATCTTATGTTTATGTTTTGTGTAATTGTATATAACATTATTGTATATTGTAAAAATTTCTTTATCAATAAGATGATCTGGTTAGACATGAGTAGAATAAACTAGTGTGTATTGTTACCAAATGACTAAGATAGCTTTTTATTATTATTATTAGATCATGGTCATGGGCATAGTCATGGTCGAGGACACCATCACAGCCTTCCAACAATAGAAGAAGTTCTGGCAGAAGAAGACATAAATGAGAATCATGGAAATTACAGGATTCCTACCAATCCTTCCTCAAGCATGCAGCAAGAACAAGATGCTAAGAAAGGAAATGTCTGTGAGTTTAGTGCATTGAGTTAGGTGTGGGATGAATGATGCTTAGGATTGAAGTATGATTACTTGTATAATATACATAGTGTTTTTTGACTGAATGTTCATGAGGTTGTTCCATTGGATCAACCCCATATTGCACAAATAATGTTGACTATAATCCAAATTTACTGTACAAAGGTATTTATTCAAGATACATGTGTCAATTAATAATGTCAGTCTGGCTACAATTGTGACATATCAGAGTGATGTTCATGTGAAGAATAGAAACAGTTTTGTCTGTTTACATATTGTATTTGCATAACCTTTAGAACCTCTGAAATGCATATCTATAATTTTTTCAGTATCCCAGTATATTGTATCAGATACTTACTCTCCTCTACCACAAATCAGCAGGGTAAAATGATTACTTAATAACTCTGCAGTCAAATACACAATACCATGCTGAATAGCACTTTGTAAAAGGTCATGGCATACACATTTTGACAACCCACATTTGCACATAGGGTTAAGCATCTAGTACATTTGAAATAATCATTGGTAGGCATTTATGCATATGTGTGTGTGTGTGTGTGTGTGTATGCTTAAGAATTAATAAGAGCATATTGTAATTGAGTCATAATGATTAATAACTGTGATTATCACATGTTCAGTTACTGGAAATTATAAAAAAAATTATATGCCTATGCAACACAAATGAAGTTCAAGATCATGGATATGAAATATAACTTTTTTTTTGATAATTTGTGTATTTTTGTTTAAACATAATTGTTTCGAACAAAACACCTACTACAGTTTGAACTGTTATTCTTGTTGCTAAACATATTTCTTGAAAATCAAATTAATATTTGGCAACTAAGTTAGTATGTTGCTTGGCTATCTTAAACATCAAGAACCATATTGAAAGGTGCACAGTAAACTACTGGAAAGGGTTTATTGATCAATTATTGTAGTGTTTTTTTCCATCCAGCTTTTATATAACAAATATATATATTTTGGCCATTGTTTACAATTGGTCTGAATATTTATAATCTTTCAATTGGCATCTTTAAAATTAACCTGCATGGAACTATAGTAAATAAAGGCAAACTACAATTTCATTTTAAAACTAAACAGTAAAAACTTTATTCCATAAAATTTATCCAAAATATGATTTCAAGAGTACTCTGATGCAACTGACAATCTGATATTTAAGGCCTAGTGTTAACAGATTTGAAATACGAAACTGGTGCCTGCATCATTGGAAGAGGTTCATTGGTGTTTTGAACCACATTAGCCTCACTGTCATTATTTCTTGAATGAACATGTATCATATTTAATGCTGAAAAAAACACATCTTGTCTTGATGAAACTTAGTTAAATGGATAACAACTGCCTGTTGTAGAAACACAAATGTAGACGAAAGGCAGAAGACTTTCGAAACATCTTCCTCTATACTTGTTTCTACAACAGGCAGTTGCCATCCATTCAAGTAAGTTTCATCATGAATTCTCTGCCTAAAAAATCTATCAAAGAAGACATCTTGTCTTATTTAAAAACTAAATGTCTGTTCATCACTGGATGTATCATTAAAGATGAACTTTTGGTCACTTTTTGCTTCAAGACATGTCAGCATGTATTTGTTCCTATAATTAAATAATTTTTTTAGCATGTCAGAAGGATGACAGGGTGTTATCCCTAATCATTATCATATATTTCTTTTTATTACTCATGTTGAGCCTAAAATAAGTTTCTGTGCACTGTCCTGGCTGTCTCATGTTACTTGGCCCACATAGAATCCTTCTGTAGTTCTCTAATTAGTTCTTGCTTTCTTTGAGTAGTTTCCATGTAAATTAATTGCCTCCTACCACTTTCGTAAATTGGTAGAACATCTTCGTTCTACACATTCAACCATGCTAGAATGTATAGTTTTGTTCTATTAGATTTATTCCCTACCTATAACTTTCACAACTTGATTTCCTTCATCTATATTACAGTTGGTCCATGTCATTCATGTTTGAGTTATTTATTTTTTGTTAAGGGGAAAAAAAGTTCTTCTGGTGAACCAACTTTTTTAATCCTCTTGCTACGAGTAGGTCAAATTGCACACATTATGACTTTGTACAAAGTTGCATTCAAAATTTAATTAAACTGCTTCATTAATTTATGTAAATGAATAAAATTGGCAACAAAATGTAGTTAATTAATCAAATTTTAATATTCTATAAGTTTTAAGTTTTTAATTTTATAAGGAAATATTTTTGAAAATTCTCAATCTCCTCTATTATAATAATCTTCATTTGTTCTCTAGGTCTTTCCTCTTTGATTTATTTTCCACTTCTCTCTGAAGTATGGAATTTAACATAATTTACTCATTATAATACAGATAATACTAAGTGTTAATTTTCATAACCTACAGTCTTAATTGTTGACTGCAAATTTACCAAATTTCATGAAGATACATATTATAAGTTATACTATGGAAACTTTTGGTTACTTTATGGTTACAAGATTGGTCATGTCAACCGACCCCATATAGAAATAATTAAATGATGTTTTGCCACCACATTAAATCCTACTCACATAACTATCTTATCATTATGTTCAATTAGAGATGGCCTACATAAAATTCATAATTTTAAAGGTGATTATAATTGAAATAGTTGCATACCTCTAGACAAACACATTTTTCTCAAATCTAAATGATTTAGAGTAAATCTACATGGTAGGAAACTTCGTATACTAAATTTACTGTGTATGTTAAGGTTGCATTAAGGTTTTTTTCATCTAGAGCCATGGTGTTCAAACTGTGGGGCTCAAAGTTCATAGGAGGGCATGAAACTATGACTATAGGAACATATAAATTATATATGAAAATGCAAATTTGAATAGTTTTAAAATCTGTCGAATAAATGTTATTATTGAGTAATGTAGCAGCAACAATTAGTATGATAAAATGACATACATTATATACTCATAGGATATACAGGGTGGAGAAGGACACCTTAAAAAAACAAAAAATCAATTGTGTATCACTGGTCTAGAGTAATGTATAACTTTAATTCCATCTTAATAATAATGATATGTAATTTTTTATCTACAAACTCGACATGATGAAACAAGTTTATGTATAACTTTGTTCTGAATTGCTAATGGAACTGTGGGTATCTCTGAAGAATCAAGAATATCATAATATAAAAAAAATAAGGTTGAGAACTAAAACTTCTGTTTGTCGAGCTATGTCAGTTGTGTGAAATTTTCCTTTTAACGATTTTCTTTCTTGTTGGAATTATTTATTGAATATTGACTGACTGTTAAAATTGTAAAAATGAATGTGACACAACCAACACACTTTCCTAAAATTACTATATTGTTTGCCAGTTTAACTGTAGAAAATAAAAGTAAAATTATACTTAGGTGTCACATATGTTTATAACTACATATATTTTATGCTAATAAAAAAATAATAATAAAAAGAAAAGAAAGAAAGAAAACGGTTGAATATTAGAACTTACAGCTCTCTAAGATCTTTTATGAGAATATTGCAAAATGTTTACTTTGGGAATTTCCTAATAACTGTTCTAAGCAAACAATTTATCAATGTAGGAATCTTTCAACTCATTGTTCAGAAACTACCAGCATGTACTTTGACAGTGGGAACATAATTATAATTCAACATGATTGCATTTTTATTACACATAAGCATGATAGGATGCTCATGCTCAAAAAATTTTTTTCTATTGTAGCCAGCAGCACTCAAATGAATATGAGAGGAGTATTTCTTCATGTTCTTGCTGATGCTTTAGGATCAGTTATTGTTATTATCAGTGCTCTGATAATATGGTTGACATCCTGGGAGTATAGATTCTATGTAGATCCAGGCCTGAGGTAAGTTTGTGCTCACGTTATTGTATTTTTTGTTGTTGGGATAAATGTTATTGACCACTTAACCTCATAGAAATCAAACCTATATAAAAGCCAGTGTGTGTATCACATCATGCTTGATTTCTTGAAATAGAGGAGTCATAAAAGCAAAAATGCATTTATCCAGATAGACTAGTTCAGTTACTGTCTGCACATTAAGATTTTAGTGATGGGTGCAAGGGGCTGTGAGGGATGTGTGTCCTGTGAAACCTTATAAGTGTAGTGAGTGTTGGTATAATAAGACTAAAGTAAAGACCGTGCATAAAATTGATCATGAAATTAAAAATATTGATTCAATTATAAACTTAAATTTTTTCTGAGCTAAAGTATTTTCTATTATATCGTTAACATTTTTAATTAAAAACAAACCTCTTTAATTAACAGAGACTCTACATTAAGAAATAACAATATTAGGTTATACTTTAGTTGCTAAACAACATGAAATAAAAGCCATTCTGGAACATAGTGTTACTAAAATGCACTGGCTTTTCTATATATTAGAAGATGTTAATCTAACTGATTTTTACCAATAATTATGCTATGAATACACCATATATTCATTTTGTGAATGATCTTAATTTTGATTGGTTCATGAAGGAATTTACCAATGTTTCACTGCCTCAACTGCACTTTGCTGCCTCTTTGTTGGTCAAGCTTGATTTTGCAAAATTATTTATTTCAGTTTGCTATGAAATGTGAGATTAGGGTATACTATGGGGTGGGGTTGGTAGTACTTTCCCTGTCATTCTTGATGGGCTATATACTAGTATATTATAAAATTTAGTAAATCTGTACAGGAAGTTTTAATTGAAATATTTTTATAACTAATTTTAGTAGTTTTATATCCCATTTTGTAAGACAATAATAAATATAACTGTAATTAGATTAGTGCATGACATTTTTTGGTTTTTATTCCTCACAGTGTAGTGATGGTTTGCTTGATCATGAGATCAACCTGGCCTTTACGTAAGTAGTCTCTTGGAATCATTTCCTTTGTTGTAAAAAACAATTTGACAAAACCACTTGTTTAAATATGTGTGATCAACAACATGGGTGAGCTCTAGCTTTCCAGTTTTTAATTTAGTGTTACATCTATAAATATATTCAAAAATTAAAGCATTATAAACAGGATCAGTATTACTAAGATTTTTTTTCCAGCTTAGGAAGATGGCTAGCCAAATAATTATGTATTAGAAATGATGGATTTAAAGAAAGATGAAATAACTTGCAGTGCTTCTGTTTTGAAAGTTTATGCTAATTTTAATTACCATGACTAAACTTTGCATTGTAGAAAGAGTTTCCTTTTATATTGCAATGACTGAAGAAAAAAAATAAAAACATCACCTCTTGAAATATGAGAAAGAGTCTAAGACCACAAAGCATGTCTTACTGTTATCAACATATCCAGTGTATACATGACATGTGAATGCAGACTGTATAACATATGCTTATCTATAAATAACCCATGCCAAAGCAGTTTACAGGAATCACATCCTGTGAAACTGATTACAACAGGAAGCTTTTCTCACACAAGTATTCTATCCTAACAATAATATATAAGTGTTGTGAAAGTCTCAGCTTCGTGTGTATAACTGTCATTTTGTACTGGAACTTACAAAAATATCGCAACAATGACAAATATAAAAATTATAGCAAAGTATTAACATTCAATTGTCTGGTCTCCAGGGAATGAAGTGTTTGTTGACTTGTTCTATTGAAGTTTATCCAGTTCACTTCTTCTCTCTCATTAGAAGAAACAGTTCAAGAATATTTTAGACATTGGTTATTTCTATGTTTATGTTGTAACATTGTTATTTTGTTTGGTAGTTTTTGTTCTTTAAATTGTGATGTGATAATAAGGCCAACTTCAGACCACATAATGATAACAGATTACTTTATTTCTTCGTTAACCTTTCTAAAAGCTTGTACACTGTAACTTGTTGGCCTAAATTTACAAATGATGTACAAATAGAAATATCACACTGTGTATTATGGTTAATGTAAAAAATATATATTTACTTGTACAAATTCAAATGAAGTAACTGAATATATGTGTGATAACTAACACTAATTCCAATACTTCACTGAAACAAAACAAATGGGTTGATTTACTACTAGCTTAAAGCAAAACACTCACTCAATGTTTCAGTGATTCTCATATTTATAATATGCTCTCATTTCTCAATGATCTTTGAATTTACTAGATTTTTGTGATGTCACCTAGAATATCTTAGTCCTACTTTAGTGTCATGTGCCCTTTAGCTAACATGTAATTAAAACATTTAAAATATAACTAACAACATTTATATAGGACTATGACTTAACTTGGCTTCCTGAGAAATTCTGGCATTCATGCTGTTATGGAGTCAACCAGTGTAGAGTGAAATTTAGATTGAATTAGTACAATATGCACTAAAAGATAGACACAAAATCATTAAGTTCGAGTGAAATGCTGTACATAGAAAATAAATTTAACTACTTTGCAGTTTTAATTTATTATATTGCATTCACACGATACAAGAAAGAACTTAGAGATGTTTGTACAGAAATTACTCATAAAGCTTATAAATGTTGTAAGTAAGCAAGCTTAGAATTATGGTCACTCTTTAGCTGGTACTTTTTCAATGGATAACAGAAGAGTAAATGTCATTGGAAACAATTTTATAAACGTGTCTACTCCAAAATGCAGTACTAGAAATAGGTTGTATTTATATGGCAACAGATTGCAGAGTATACATATGCAACATGATGGTTGCAGAGTTCAGCAAAACAAAGCATAATAGCAGCAGAGGGATTGTATATAATATAAAGGATGTAGATGTCAGTAAAAAAAAAAAAGATCAACAGCAGGTGGTTCTCTGTGTGTCACGTGAAGGTGAAAAGTTTCAGCAAAATATAATTTAGCAACAAAGAGTATTTCATAACTGACTTTTATTATTATATTTTGAAAGATGCTTGTGAGTATTTGGGTAAATATGCAGGAAAAATAAACCATAGATTACTTATTTGATGTACATGTGTGTAACCTGTACCATTGTTGGCATATGTAAGCATTCAGTCTGTGCTGAAAACGTAAATGTTACTGTGTATTTTCTGCTGAAAATCAAGTTAACTTTTGAATTATTTATTCTTCTTATCTTATTGGTAATTCAAAGCATGGTAAATGCATTGCTTTATTATTATTATTATTATTATAATAAATAAATAAATATATAGACACACGTACATTTTGCAATGTATTGGAATTTTTCACTTTTTATATTTCACATCATAAATGCTGTCAAGTACAATTTTTACTAACTATTCTTGGTAGAAAATTTATTTTCAGAATGAAGGAAGTGGTATGTAGATGGTAAAGTTATTTCATCTTAAACTGCATTTTCAGCTACCAAAAACAAAGTATGTTGTGAATAGAAGACAATTTTCAAAGGTTAATGTTACAGCAATTTCAGTTGGAAATAGAATAAAATACATGCATAAAGATAATACAAAACATACACAACATTAAAGAATGGTTTTCAGAGTGAATGTGCTTGTATAAAATTTTAAAAATGAATAAGTAATTTTCCTGAGTCATTAAAGGTTTGCTTATATTTAATTAGTTAATTCAAAATAATACTGTACAGAATTTAGAATTTTTTTTTTTTTGTATACAGCACGTATATCTATTGGTCTTTTTTTCATCTCTACAGTTGTTGAGTCTGCCCTAATTTTACTCCAAACAGTACCAACTCATATACAAGTAAATTACCTGCAGAAGAAGCTGCTTCAAAAGGTTGGTACAAGTCTGTTGGATGTTGCAATATGCTCTTTTATGTATGAATATTTATTTTGGGGAAAAAACAATGTAAACAAGAGAAAAAAGTTTTAATTTTCAGGTGTATCTGTGTGTGTGTTTGTTTTTTTTGTTTTTTTCCTCGTTCAATTATAGAGCTTCTTACTTATAGACCTGATTTCAGTTTGGGTATAAGAAGAACCTACTTGATACAAGTGTTCAGCCAAATCCTTGGTCTATTAAATAACATGAAAATCAAACTTAAGAGTTTCAATAAAAGAGAGATTGCAAAGATTGTTGCTTACTGCATGTGGTGTCATTTCACGTACAGCAAGTCTGTGTCATCAAATAACTAAAAGCTTTTAATGCCCAGGTTTTGTTTTGTGTGTGTATTTTTTTTTAAGCATTTAATATAAAATAGTAGAACCATATAAAAACCCTTGCACTATGATTAGGCTCAGTCTTTGCCCTATAACTACTAAGTTAGTTAAAATTTTGTTTCATGAGGATTATATATATTTTTACAGGTGCATAGAATTGAATGTATAGTACTGGTGGAACAAAACTACATATATGCATGCATGTTTTGCACCCATATTTAGACCAAGATTGCTGTTTGTGGTAATGTGTGTTGAAGCAACACACTTAATAACCTGAACATTCTGTAGCCTGTTTCTCAGGAGCTTAGCTGAGCTGAAGTTCAAGAAATAGCAAGAAGCCCAGTTTTGGAGGACTTCTTAACATACAAGTGTTAATAGTGAAAGCTCTCAAGTTCACTCTCAACTTAGCAAGATAGTTTGCATTATCTTTGTGTGAAGAAGAAACCATACAGCTTAACTTGCCATAATTTAAATTTCGTTTTGCAGTTTATGGATAAAAAGACATTACCAAATAAGGTAACCCCCACTCTAAAAAGCACTGTTTTTGACTACAAACATATAATAACTGGGCAATTCAATATTGAGTAAAAACTTTGCTATACTTTTCATTACCAATATTTTTTTGCATGTTTCTAAACTGTTCTATTTTGTAAGTGTTGTCAAATTTCTACTACTCCCCCCCCTCGATCCGCTACAATCATGAAATCTCTCTTTGTTATTACTAGTAAAGCATGTGTTTCTTGGTATCATCATTGGTTGAAGCAGTAGTAGTATAGCTATAACTCTGGCCAATGGGGAAGCTTCTTATCTCTCCTAAACATTTTCTTTCTAAGGCAGTGACTTGAAAGGAAATTGCTGTAAGGTAGGGAGGAGTTTAGTTTTTATAATTCATTTCATGTGTTGTCAGAAAGTGAAGTTGTATCATGTGTGAGTTTTTAAGATTTTACATTCGTGGCAACATTTGAATTTTCTGACATATTTTCTTTGCAGGTTTTAATAATTAATTCATATTTACTGAGTGTGGAACTAAAACTAGTGAAAATAGTTTTGACATTTTTCAGAAAAAGTAATAGTTTCTGTTGTTGTTTTCATATTCAGAGAAGGTTTACTCTTTTATCTAAAAGATTTTCTCTTCTGCCCCCCAGTGGCACAGCAGAATGTCTGCGAACTTACAATACTAGAATGCGGTTTTCGTTACCCATGGTGGGCAGAGCACAGATAGCCCATTGTGTAGCTTTGTGCTTAATTACAAACAAACATTTTCTCTTCTTTTAACCATTAGTATTTTCTTGAACACTTCAGAAGCAAATTGAAATACAAATATCAGTTTTGTTTGAACATATTAAATAAGTCAACCTTTGATATATTAACATATAGTGGAGTTTGAAGTTTTGTAAACTGACAGGGATAAGAATACTATATTTGTCAACCTTATTAGATCAAATGCACCAGACCATTTAAGGAATAATTATTATGGAAAGCTGACATTTTTTTGGTTTAAATTTTGAAAAATAACATTTCAGTCTCTTGTGTACTTGATAGCACATACGTGTTCATTTAGCATAAATAAGGCTAGTATTGCACGTATTTATTGCTATGTTGTACAGTGTTACTGGACAATGAATATTATCATGTGGCACTTAATGTACACTTTACATTTTAATTTCTGTTAATTGTTTCTCATTCTAAATGTTGCATTCAGATAAGTTGGAAATGATCCAAATTGAACTGCAGGTTGATTTGCATGTATGCTAAATTTGTAAGTAGAATTGGTTTGATGGGAACTGTTCATAAACAAGAACAGTATTTCCTGTCCAAGATACACCATATGAAGACATTGTTTAAAGGACTTAAATATAAAACTTAAATGAGACATATATTTCTTTTCTATATAAATTATATATTATAAAAAGTTCTGTAAGTATACACACTTTTTTTAATTTTTCTGTATTGTTACATGACAAACAGGTTGGTTGATACAAATTAAAGAAGCATGGGAAATTATGTAAGTGATAGGATGGCAAGTTGTTTACTGACACACACACACACACACACACACACACACACACACACACACACACACACACACACATAAATGCATTTTAGGTATTGCTTCTTTTGATTTATAAGTCTTATTAATCCCTTCCCTAATTCTGATTTGCAAATGACTTAAGTAATATTTATAATAATTACATTTCTCTTGCTTAATCTGTTTCATACTATATCAGTCCTTGTTCATGCAATTGAATGTATAAGTAGCACTTAGACCCCTACTATGTGGTAACCCAGGTGTATTGATAAACCCTGACAGATATAATGTGCTTGACATATTACACATTCTTCTTTACTTTCTCTTAGATCTTAGAATTACAGACTGTTGAGGTATAACTAACATAATCTGAAATTTTACATGTATTATTAATTTCTTCTGGCATGTTATCATAAGTAACATATAATTTAATTTATTAAAGTTTCAGTCAGAATGTTAGCTTGCAGTAACTATGCTCAGAATTTAGTAATAATATTTTCATATGAATGCCAAAAAAGTTTCCGTTTTAGTAACTTGTTTCCTTGAACACATATAAAGTGTGACTTTGCAAGAATATTAATGGCATAAGTTTTTTGAATTGAAAACCCAAACAATGGAAAGTTCATTATCCATACTTATTAGTACATGTATAATATGCAGTCCAATAAGAACATTTACTTAATCACCCACATGCTCACGGTTTAAATGCCCAAGTTTTCTATGTTGTTATTATTAAGTTACATAATTGATAAAATTTAGAATTTTAATATCATAACATTGAGTTTTAGTCAGAAGACAAATTCAGATATTATGAAGTAAATTCTGACTGTGGTAATTTATGGATAGGCTATTTATATTATTTAAAGTTTTTCTAATGATACTTTTATCTTTAGTTTCACTGTTTAGAAAAATTAGTACTAATTGTAAAATAAATGAAGAATAACAGCTAAATCCTTTATTTTATTAACTTTAACAGTCTAATATAGCTAAAATTTCAATATAGCTACTAAAATAGATACACTGCTTCGACATCACTTTCCTATAGAAGTCGAAGCACATAATTGTCTTATAAGATGCATTTCTACCACATCAATGGAGAGTTTAGCACCTCAACCCTTGAGGCTTACACCACATTGTCCTAGCGCTGTTGCCATTCCTTACAGAGACTTGTGTGTGCATGGGCTACAACTTCATAACTTTTCATCAAGCTGTGTCATGCAAAAATACCTTAAGTATAGTTTCTGCCAACCTGTACTGCATTTGAAGTTTCTGGCATTTGTTTGTCTGGTTATATAGAAATTTATACAAGTCAAAACTTACCACAGTGATGGTATTTTGCATAAATGGTTAGGATAATTAATGCTAATAAATAATTAAAATTTTGTTTAAAAAGACAATCTATCAGCAAAGTATGTGAATTGAAAATGTAATAGTTCATATACACTTTAGTATTTATTTTAAATCTAGGAGCATTTTTAAACTAATTATGTTGCTTCATTAAAGGTACAAAATACAATAACCATTCTAATGGTTCTGGTTAAATATAAACTCTTTATGTAAAAAAAAAAAAAAGAAGACTAGCACAATAATTCATATATATAGTGTCTTTCTCACACACACATTTTTTGATATTCTGTATTTATTGTTAGTTGGACAATGCTTAAATAACAAAAGTTCCTCATCCTTGTTAGATTATTTCGATGTTATATGCTTTCTTCTCTAATGAATGACTTAAACTTTTCAATGATAATTTGTATATTTTTAAATGAATTAATTCATAATTTTTTTATTCTCAGATTGATGGTGTACTTGCAGTCCATGAGTTTCATGTCTGGCAGTTAGCTGGAGAGAGAATTGTAGCTTCAGCACACATTCGTTGTCGAAACCTTTCGGAATACATGCAAATAGCTGAAAAAGTGAAGGAGTTTTTTCACAACGAGGGCATACATTCAACTACAATCCAGCCAGAGTTTGCAGAACTTGAAAGTGATGTAAGTTGAATTATTTACTGGCTTTTGTCAGGAATGATTCAAGGCATATTCTTTTGATATGTAAACTTGGATATCTTCTAGCATTGTATATCATAATGAATTGTGTTACAATATAATTTGTACCTGATATAAAATCTGACTGTTAGTGTATAATCTTGTGTTTCAGATGAACTTTAGAACTCGTATTCATTGAAGTATTTTGTTACTTATATATGAGTTATTCTAAGGGTAAGAATTTTTTTCACCATGCAGTCGTTCTGTCTCACACATTTAGTGTAAATTCTTCATGTTTTTTGTACTCTAATTTGTTTAAACAAAAGCAAGTGTTATGAAATATCAAGCTTTAATTAATTGGACATCATCGGGATAGAAACTGTAAGATATTTTTTCTTTTATTTTGTAAAGTAATTTAATAGGTTAAATTTTGTTGCTATGTAGCTCTAATTTGTTAGCTTATTCTAAATCTAAAACGTACAGAATTGACATAAAATTACTACATTATCATAAGAACTTCACTGTGTTTTATTAAACTTCTCATTAGGCAGGATGATAAATGTACAAATACAAACCATACACAAATACATCTAATTAAGTAGATAACGGTTACTTTGATATAAAATACAGAAATGTGACAAAGTTTTTCAAAAATCCATTTGGATATTTATCACACTGAAGGTACTTGTTCATTTTTACAGGTTGTAACTATGTATACTGCATGGGCTCAAAAGAAGTTTTAGTGAGAGATTTTCATTTTAATTGAAATATTTTTGTAAATGTAGTGGTTATATTTATTATGTTTTGTGTGTGTGTGTGTGTGTGTGTGATTAACAGAGCTTGCAATCCATAGATTGAAATCTGCTAGCCTAAATTATAGAATGAAGGACTTATTTGTAATGGTTACCTTGTATCAAAATGAATAATTACAGACAGACAAAAACTATACACATTTGATTGGCTTTTAATGAACAAAATCTAACATTATCTTGATAAATTCTGAAGGTATATCTGATTAAAGTTTAATTCTTGTTGTTTTTCAGTTTCAAGATGGAGACAATTGTGTACTGGATTGTCCAACTAACAACAGCTGTGTAGCACAGACATGCTGTGGCCCACAGAAGGATGGTAAAGAATCTCCAAAGGCTGACATACCAAATGGATCGGCATCCCCGGCTTGTCGTCAGAGAAATAACAGTTTTACACCAGAAGTGAGACGCAGCACAAATGATGTGCATGTGATGTTAAGTTTGGAACAGATAAGTGATATCCAGGAAACACAATCTTGATGCAGCTTTGTCATACAGTATGAATATTTGGAGAGTGAATTGTTAGAATTTAAGGCTTGATCTCTTTGAACTTGGAGATCTTTAAACGTTTTCACTGTTTTAAGCTATAGATAAAATGCTATTTAACTTTCAAAGTGAATTTGGCAACATAACAACTGTTGGATAAATAGTTTGTGTACTGTCAGAAGCTACATTCTCAGGACTCGTTAAAGTCTACCTTACAGATACTGAAACTAAAATAAGCATACATTTATGAAATTGTTTGCTTGTCATTGTTGTTGCCAACTCAACATACACAAGTTCAAATTTTGATTTCACTCCCCTGTATTTCATTAATACTATAATATAATACTCATATTTAAGTTTTATGATAAGTAAAGAAAATTACAAGAAAACAAAGAATACAAATCACACATATAGATTCTCTGTTAAGTGTAATCTTAGCACCTGTTGAAGATATGAGTAGACCATATGTTTCTAGATGTTAATGTTCAATCTAGTGAACTTAGTATAATTGTGCTGTTACATTTGAAAAAAGACAACAAAAAAATCTTTAATTCAGTCTCATTTTATTATTGTTTTATTTCAATAGTATTTTGAATATATTTTAGTTCAGAATAAATGTGTAAATAAGTAAAATATGATTTTCAAGTATATTGTATTATCCCCATTCAGTTGTTCATATTGAGTAATTATAAACTTAGTTATATTGACTGAAGCAATCTGGGATTTCAGAAAATTAATGCCTCTTTCTAAATATTTAAATTACATTTCTAGACACTTGAGAGAATTTTAATTTTTAAAGAATAACAATTTATTCAAAAAATATAAATATGCCTCATGCAAACATGATCTGGTTTACATTTTGTTAGTTTTTTATTGTACATAGCTCTCTATGCATGTGCTGAGATTCAAAATATTCTTAATTATACCATGCCAACAAAATTGTGGATGCTTTAGTTCCTAGCTTCTCAAACAGTACATCAGCTCTACATTGTCAGACTTGCTTTTCATTAAATGCTTTTGTTGTTAATCTATATATTATTTTTGATCTTTGGATGAAAGAAAATATTTTATCTTTATTGAGGTTTTGTAGCTAAAGTGAAGTCTGTTGGGCTTGAGACCTTTTTAAAGTTTTCAGTGGTTGGAATTTTAGTAATTTCTGTGGCTTTTCCTAAAGTAGTACTTTTTTTATTAAACATAATTTATCTTTATAACCTTAGTGACTTATGCTGCTTTTAGTGGTGTAATAACTGAAGATCACCTTCTGTTCGAATATTAGTTGACTCTCCTAATGTCTCCTTTTAATTTCAGATTTTCATATTTTGTTAATTATTTGGATATGAGACTGGATTAGTTTTTATCATCTTGATTCATTTTTGTCTTTGCCAAGTCTAAATTATTTTATTGAACCTATTCTTTCAGAAAGTTTTGGAAGGCCCTTTCATTTATCTTAGTTCAGATCAGGTAGTTTGACAACATTGTGATTGTGGTAAGATCAAAAACTGATTTGTCTTCACTGAAATTTGCAAGGTTACATTGCTAAAAGCGTTTTACTTTTAGTGATTTTCTTTTTGTATTTGTTTAAGTACATCTTTCAATGATATTTTAAAGGCTCATTCTTTCATCCATGTGTGTTCAAAATTATTAATATTGTAATTTACTTGGGCACTTTATTTTTCCATACTGTATATTGGATGTTTAATATGATAGGAATGTTAATAATTACATGCAGACTTAGTGCACAGTGATTTGGTAAGCTCTTAAAACTTCCTCTTCATTATTTCTGAGTTCCACCTACAGTATAGTTTATGCTTCTAGAAAGCTCAGCCATAAAAATGTGCATCTGATTAATATCTACAACGTTATTGCCAGTTTACATTTGGTAATCTAATGGAGGTAAAGTCAATGATGAGAAAAAAGTTTCTCTTAGATCATCTATATTTTTTATGATAATAATAATAATAATAATAATAAAAAAATCTCGTGTAATCTGACATCTAGGTTCCAATAGGTGTTTGATTCAGTTTGTCTCCATTGTTGTTTCAAAAACTTGGCTAGTTGGTGAAAACTAGAATTGGTTATAAAGATATTCAAAAGGGTTATAATCAGGGCTGTTGGTGGGTAATTCCAAAAAGTTGTTTGTGTTATTTTGTTATTAGACATGGATTATACATGGCTTATAATAGGGAATATTAAATCTGGCTAGGACATATTGACTTGCTGACCATAAATGCTTTGCCGTGGCTCGTAAAATTTGTTCACTTAAGTATATTTTTGTTATCCGTGAACATTTAGATATGCCTACACTTCAGAGGTATCACAAAGTGCATGGAATGCAGCTCATGCCATGTCCATGCTCCTTTACAGTTGATACAACATTATCATGGTTAAATTGTTCATTGGCTTTCATCCAGACCAGTATTTAGCATTCTTTCTCCAAAAGTAGATTAGATGGTTCTTATCGTTACACATAATTTTGCCATCTGTAATGAAGGTTCCAGTGCTGATGGATTTTACTTTTAGCAGATGAGGGTTCCAAGCATTCTAGAGGATGATCAACAATAATTGTTTCCTATTCCCTCCAAAATATTCACACACATGGAAAGTTTGCTACATAGACCATACAAATGGTGCTGGTTCTCATGTTATCACACTAGATGCAGTAAACTTGTTGTGAATTTATTACAAAGAGAAATCATGAAATCTGGTCATTTTTACAGTCCTAACAAGGGAGAATGTATCATCAGAGCACTTTGGCTGACTTAAATATGTAGATACTGTATTAATGAGCTTCTTATATCCTTAGAGAATCTTATGCACATGATGAAACATTGCTACAGTTTCAATTAAATTTTTCATAATTCTGGCAGCTCTATAATTTACCCTCTCGTTCACAGTATTCACTAAAAATGAATCTGAATTAACTTCTCTTCATAGTTAATGCTAACTAAATGCTAAGGATGATAATCACCAACATAGAATTATTCATTATACAGATACTATATATATATATATATATATATACATACACACACAAGTTTGTGGCTGAGAAGTTGGGCAGAATAGTAATTGTATATGACTGACTACTTGATTGTAGTAAATTTGAAGTTATAAGTATATCTAGTTAGTAATTTTTGTTATGAATATAGATTTCTTGTGTTGTCTGTAAAATACCCATGAACACACACACACACACACACACACACACAGAGTGTTGCAGAATATGATCAAGTGCAGTTTATTCACGTTGTTTTATAAAGAAAATGTATTTGGTATGATAGATCTATGTGTGAAATTTTCATGACAGTACTTCAGGTAAGAGGTCATTGTTTTAGTGGACATTAGTCGAGCCTTCTACATTGTAGAGGATAAACTTTGGAGGACCATAATCTGTTACATGTGACTTGTGGCAATGGAATTTTTTTTATTAAAATTTGAGTACTTTTTATTTTCAATGCATAAACCTGAAAGTTAACATGGGATTAATAATAATGAATGTGCATGCTGCCAGATGGGCCACTGTTATAGTTGATTATATAAAGTTATTTTCTGTATTTTTTGTTTTAAGTCCCAGTAATGCCATATAGTTTGTTCTAAGTGCTTAGAAATACTTAGGCCAATTTTTATGTTTTTGTTCATTTGTTAGCATTTATCAAACAATGTATTGAAATTATTCTTTCTGATGTAAGAATTATCTAATAGGTTTTGTATTTTCTTGGCACAAAAGTCTTCAAATTTATCATTTTCTTGTAACTTTTACTTGGAATTAAAGCATTTTAAATTAACAATATTAGTGATCTGAAGTAAAAGTTTACTTGGAAATTGCATCATGATGCAAAACAGCATCCAAACAAATAGAAGAAAAGGTTAGAAAGGAGATAGTATTTAAAGTGTTACGACATGTTTTTTTATATATTAATGTAATACAATAACTTTTTTTTTTCTTCTTCTTCAGAAGGAAAATCAACACTGGAATTTTTATCTAAAACCAGGTTTTTTAGCTTGTTTAGTTTAAAATGCTTTAACTACTACTTTGGTATGTTTTGTTTAAATGAACAAATGCTAGTACTATGTAATATTGAAGGGTTTTTTTTCATATTTTGTAGTAGCTCATTTTTAAATAAAACTGGCCTAACCTTTGAGAATGAAAATCCACTTTTGTGTAATTCTCATCAGTGTACTAAAATTCCTTTTTTTAAACTCTGAATTATTTTTTTTAGAACTTTCATTTGATTAATTTTTTAACTGTTTTCTAAGAGTTAAAAATCACCAGAATCATTCAAATAAAGAATAGTTTTCTGATAACTTTTTTTCCTGAATGCTTGTTACAGATAGTAGTGTTGAAACTTAAGATACAATAATATGATATATAACAAATTACTTCTTATTGATTTACTAACATTCTTAACTTGGTAAACTGTTAGTGTAACAAAGCTATATATACTTCATCATTTAGAAGAATAATGGACATTTGTTATAGTATTTTCTTTCAATATGTAAAGAAACTAATAGTTTGTGCACTATTACAAGAATGTGAAGACTAATTAGAAGCAATGGTGTTTTGTGCTTTGGTAGACTGAATAATGAACAATTGTAATTTCTAGCTAAATATGACATAATGGCTTTTTAAATTAATGATGGTTATTTTTGTTGAACAAATTTAGTTAATTGTCTGTATATTTAAATACTGTGGATAATTTAACGGTTTATAGATATTCAAAAGATTATTTAGGTAGACTAATTTTAGGAATTAGGCCTAACATAAACCTTCTGAGCTAGCCAAACATTGTTAGATGTTCTTGTTAGTATAGTAAAAATCATTGTTAACAATGATCATACTTCTCATTAACAAATCAATACATTGTAAGCATTGTGTGTTTTAAGTACTTGTTCATAAATCATCATTAATATTATTTTTAATTGCTATTACCAAACTGCTTTTGCTAAAACATCTTTTATTAATGTTATTTTTAAAGGAATATTTTTTCTTTGCATTTGTTTAGTATTTATTCATAAATTGTCAGTAAAAGTAAGTGACAACTTTTAACACACAATTTCATATTAATATGGCATTGCTTTATCTCGGACTACCAGTGGCACTGTGGTAAGTCTGGAGACTTATAATGATAGAAAAAGAGTTTTGATACCTGTGGTGGGCACAGCACAGATAGCTCATTGTGTAGCTTTATGCTTAACTACAAACAAACAAAGTTTTATCTCAAGAAATGCATGTTATATGTTTTGCAGAAAAGATTATCAATATATTATTCATCAGGTTTCTGGCATTAGTGTTTATTATTAAAGAGAACTTGTTATCTTAACTGATTGATTTAAATCCCTCAACCTTGTTTTTTTTTAATGGTGAGTTAAAGTACATGAGTAATTTTAAGTATAATTAAAGTACCTTTCTTTAGTAAATCCTTAAATGTGTTAGTATTTACTTACTCAGGATAAATAAAGTTTTTTTTAAGTACACAAAAAATAGGGTTGTGTGATCCAAGATGATTCTATTCTGTTTTCACTGACATGCAAAGACTACTTTTATAGTATTCTCTTATATATGTACAGATGTCTTCTGTAAATAGGTACAAGCTCTCTCATCTTTAGAGTGTAGGCAACTGCCTAGGGCTGCAGCATCAAAACTTTTACTTGTAATAACCTAGCTGCGTCTTCATTTGAGCTGTTCACATTTAGAAGAACTTCAATTTCCCAGATTTCTTTCTTTTTGGCTGCAAAGGTGTTTCTTTAAGTTCTAGTGTCAATGAACACACTTTCCAGGTTAGTAAGTTATAAACTTTTACTAGCTAGGTTATTACAAGTAAAAGTTTTAGCTAGGTTGCTAAAGTAAAAGTTTCCTAGAAATTGCAACAATTTGTTCATATAATATCACATTTATGTTTACTGATGATAATGGTGCAGGAACAGCATTTCAAAATCTTGCATAAAGTGGTAAAATACCTGAAGCTGGTCCAGAGTGTAAATTAATGTTAAACTTGACATTACTGTTATGTTATTTTTATAAAATGTATTCACTTTTTTGTCAAATTGTTTGAAATTCTAAAAATAGATATGGCTGAAAAATACTTCAATAACAACTTTTTTCTATATTATGTTTTAGTTTTAACTGCATGATTTTTTTATAAATTAGTGTCATAGACTTTTTTCTCCTGGTTTTTGTAATATAAAGTTTCAGTAAGGAAGCAGATATATGTGTATGAGCATTTTTAATGTTACATGTACTATGTGTGTAGTATAGCACAAAAATATAAAAATCAGTTCCAGTGTTCTGTGAGTGTAAAGTGTATCTCCAGAATATATTTGTTATTTAAAACACCTCGAACAACAGGCCAGCACATTTGTTAAAGAAACTAGTAAATTTGTTAGATCATAAAAGTTTCTACTTTGAAAATGTGTTGTAATTGTTTATACTTTACTTTGTAAGGATTTTGCTGTGCATTGATACTACACTTTTATCATATGCATGATGTTTTTAACAAAGCTTTGTAGTGAAGATTACCTTGTAAATAATATTGTTGTGGAATAGCCTGAAAACAAACAAATACATGTACTTATGGAAAAGAATTTGTATTCTTTCAGAAGGAATATGCTTTACTCATTTAAAATTTTCTAATTACCAGAAAGTATTGAAGTATAATAATTCCCATTTGCGACTTTTTCAGGAGAGCCTCAAAATTTATTGATTTTTATTAGTAAAGTAAGACTTGTTTTGAAATGCATCTTTTTTTCTTTTCTTTTTTACAAGTTTTTACTTATTATGGGTATTTTGCTGACTTGTTATTGACCCACAATAAAAAAAGTATACAAGTATTATATCGAAGCAAAATTTTATGTACATGTGTAAAGTCATTTCCAAATTATTTTTTTTGTTTTTCCTAGCATTTGCACTTAAGAAAGTATCCTAAAACAGAGTAAAAATTGTAACTAATTCTGTGATTAGTAAAACAAAACTTGCAACAATATTGCATGGTTCTGTTGTTTTTTAAATGCTTTTGATACTCTTTGTCACATAATTGTATGGTAAGATTTCTTTGTGATTATTTCAAGCTCCTTTTGAGTGTGCCTTTCAAAACAAACTGTCCACAAAACATTAAGTTTTTGACACTTTGTTTTTGTTCCACTGGATCGTGGATTATTAGATATTTCCATGAGGAATATATTTAGAAGTGGTATTTTTAAGAACTAAATTTAAAGCATGTGTTCAAAAATATTCATTAAAATTATTTATTTAGTTTTCTTTTGTGATCTTTAGAAAATGTTTGCTTTTTTTTTCTGGTGAAGTGGGATCAACTTACTTAAAAAACAAAAAAAAATCTGATCATTATGAATTTGTTAGTACTTATTGTGTATGTGTATTTTATTTTAGTTGTAGATGTTCGTAGTAATCCATAAAATAAATTGTTATTGTCCTAGAATTTTGTTTGTAGTAGTATTTTTGTTTTTATGCAGTAATGTACATTTTACTTAAATTTTTCTTTATCCTCAATACTTGGTGTTGCTACATTTATCAGGTAGGTGGCAGCGCTGCCTATTTAGGGATGGCTCAGATTGTTCATCGAAATGGTATTTTAAATATCTCCTCAATAGGTCATCAGAATGTTACGATGTTATACAGTGTTTCCTTTTATAACAGTATCTATGTAATGATTGAATCACAAGTTCTGGGAATGTCTGTAAATATCATAGCAAAAAGTTTGAATTTCTTGTTTTACTTTTTCTGCTACTTTTTTTTATTACATAACTCAAAAACCAAAATAATGGTGTCAACCAATTTTACTGAGGTGAGAGTTTCAAACGGAGTATCTGCTTTTATAAGTATTATTAATAACTAATAGTAATTTTAAAATAA